AAGGACGGAGAAGTGTGCGGAAGGCAATGACCTGAAGGTCCGTCGCAATGGCACGAGAGGAGACACAAGATAGGCTACACGAAAGGGAAGTGGTGAGATTGTTCCCTTTCCCTTCGAGGTCTCACCCACAAATCTTCGCTGTAATGCTTTGAAGCCGAGAGTAGTTTCATTGTTTTGCATGAGCGGAAAGATTGACTCACAAATCGCAAATTGTTTTACGCGCGTGTAAGAGGTTCTGAGTGTAAAATGACTTACTCGTGTTACATAATGGAAGCTTTATTTTAGGTCCATGGACTGAAACTCTGCACCGCCTATCAGTGAACAGTGGGGTGTCAGAGTATCTCACCATGACCTCCTGGACGTTGGAACTCGCAGTGAAGAGTGTGCGAGAAGATCAGTTGACCGAGAGACGTAAGTACATCGGTGACAACAGTGTGACACATTTTTACGGATGTATCGACAACTTCACACAGTATCGCCTCCTCTGCAGCTTCGTGCTAAGTGATCCCCCCCGACGACTTGCCATGATGAAGAAGACAATGGTGTCACCAAGTGAAGGATGTGAGGCAGCTCAATTTCCCTACATCTGCGGGGTGCTCCGATGAAGGATGCCTGCAGTGGTTGGTGGTGAAGCGAGGCTTGGTGATGAGGCGACTTCGTGCCTCGCTTACATCGCCTTGCTGGTAATGTTGGTCTAGTTTGACTGACGGTGACGCAGGCTCGTACATATTCGATGCACGGCAAAGCTGAACTCGGCAGTTTACTCAGCAGAAGCACGTCTAATGAAGAGCAACTAATGCATGAGGCGACCACTTGCTTCCAATAACGGAAGGCAGGGGCGATCACATACCCACTGTTCGCTTTGTTTTATGGGTCATAAAGAAGTGGAACGTGGACTTATTTTGGCTACTGTTTCCTCCACCCCAACCTACAGCGGTACAGCCTCAAAGGTCAGAACGGCACACGTTGTCAAGGAAAAGGAAAAAGATGCGCTAGATTAGTATCG